TGAGTAGGATGTCGATTGGATGAGGACAGCCATCGGCCACTCGCCCACGCGCTCGCGAACCATGCTGGCCAAGCTGGGCGAGGCGCAGGCCGCCTGGCAAAACTCGTTGAGGTCTGAATTTGCCACTGACCAAAACGCCCACCGCCTCCCGCGCCCAGCGTCGGAACGGCACGCGAACTTGCTGCTCGGACCCCCTGGTGCGGAGGTGTCGCGTGTTACCGCTGCCACCGCCACCCGCGTCCACGCAGGCGATGCAGCTGATAGCAGCGACCGCACCCACTCCGATGGCCTTCCATGCAGAGTGGAGTCAACCTCCAGGTGCCGAGGAGGCACGACAATCCTGGAACCCACCAGCGGCGGTGTTCTGGTAGTGATTCTCGAAGCCGTCGTGGGTATTTGTCCCTGGAGTTGGTCCTCATAATCAGCGTTTTGGGTCTTCTCCTCTGCCGTGCGATTGCCATGTGGACTGCATTCGGAGCACCCTACCGCAGAAAGGCGAGAGAACTCGTCGCGCGTCGAACTGTCACGGCGCTGCGCCATGCCGAGTGCGCGATAGCCAAGAGGACTACGCATAGGGATCCAGGGCTGCCAAGGAGCAGGGAGCGCGTAGGTGAAAGTCGACGGCCATGCCCTCGAGAACCGTCAAAAGGGTAGACCCAAGTTTGCGCAACGGCCCCCCGGGTGGATGGCAACGCTCTCGCCGGCGCGCCCCCCCCCGACTCACACAACACAGTGGCGGAGAATTCGGGGCGCTCTGCCGACGCAGACGACGTGAACATCGGATCGAACAATTGCTTGGCATATTCGGCTACACCCACACAGGGATGCAATGAGGGCGACGCGTCCTCTTCATCTTCTCCCACGGGCTTTCGAAATATAGTTGCGAATGGCCGACGCTGTGAGTGTGAACGTCGGATCGCTCGACGGTCTGACGTTGCCGGCGGCGCGCACCTGCAAATGCTGTGACGACGAAAAAAAAGGAAGGCCAGGGGGCCGTTGTCCTTGTTGTAAGTGTCCATGCAGATGTACTCGTGCCCCTGCCCAGTCGTGGCTCCTGGCGGATGGGCGGCTGGTGCCCCGACAATCCCGAATGAGCTGTCCCCGGCCTCGGCGGCGACCTGTTGGAGGTGCACGGTGCAGACAGCGCGGCGTCGTGTAGAGCGTGCGGAACGGGTCGTAGAGCGGGAGCCGCTTGCGTGAGGGAGTGCCACGCGAGCCATGGCGGCTGCAGATCACGGAGCAACGTACCCCCTACCAATTAGAATGTGAAGAGATGGACAAGACAGTTTCCTCGTCAGCGACGTGAAGCAGGCAGTGTCAGCGGATGTAAAGCAAACGTGCAGCGGGCGCGGGCCTGGCCAGGCATGAGCCAAACGCCCATGGCCAAACCCTGCGAAAACGCATGCTACATGTACTGATGATCCACCGTTCGAATAAGACGAGGGCGAGCAGGGAGGCGAAAGGAGGACGAGGACTTGTGAGGGGGGAGAAGGGAAGAGTACGAGGGGCGAGGGGGCAGAAACCCCTGTCCGTCGACTTTCCTCAACAAGAGGTCGGCAGGGAGCTGGAGACGAGGAGGCTTTGTGCTGCGCCCCAGCGCTCTCTTCTTCTCCCATGGGGAATGGCGGCGACCATGGGGTGAAGATGGCGATGGCTTGATGGTGGTGATGATGCTGCTGATGATGCTGCTGATGATGGTATGGTGGCGGTGACAACGACGGCTACGATGATGACGACGATGATGATGAAGATGGTGATGATGATGCTGATGATGTTGATGATGATGTTGATGCTGATTATGCTGTTGATGATGCTCACGATGAGGTCAACATGGTGTTAATGATGATGCTGGCGATGATGATGCTGAGTATGAACATGAGTAGGAAGCTGACGCCGATGCTGATGTCGATGATGATTAAGATTATGATGCTGGTGATGACGATGATGTGTGTGACGATGCTGATCATGGTGATGACGATGACGCTGCTAATGGTGTTGATGATGCCGATGCGGATGATCATGATGACGAGAGTGATGATGTTGAAGATGATGACGAATATGATGATGACGATGATGTGCTGGCGGTGATGGCGATAGGGCTGGTGTTGACAATGGTCATGCAGAGGCTGATGGAGATATTGATGGAGACGATGATAACGATGACGATGATACTGATGTCAAGTATGACAATGGTGATGATGCTGGTGCTGCTGAGGATGATAATGCTGGTGATGGTGGTGGTGATGATGCTGATGATCATGGGCAACATCAATATAATGAGGTAGACATCGGTGTACGGGTAGCGCATGGAAGAGCAAAGGATGCAGTCTGAACAGGCCTCACAACAACGATCGAAGATATAATGATCAGAAGGCGTAAGAAGATGCGCGCATTAGAGGAAAGCAGAAGGAGAAAGAGTACGGGGAAGAGAGGAGGAGAAGAGGAGGAGACGGGCGTGAGAACGGCGGGAGGAAGGAGGAAAGAACAGGGGGGGGCGAGGAGCTCCGCTGCGGCGACCTCGTTCCGGATCAGGAAGGCCAGGGCCCCCTCGGACAGAACGGTGCCAAAGATCAAGAGGATCATGAAGATCAGCAGGCTGGACCACAGCAGCACCTCGAGGGGGGGAGGGAAGGAGGGATGCAAGGGGAGGTGAGGAGCAGGAGCGGAGAGGAGCAGGAGCACGGCTCCTGTGGAACGAGGGCGCCCAACTCCGCGCTTCGCGCTGCGCATAGCGCGTAGCGCGAAGAACTTCGCACACTCGCGCCGTCCCCCAGGGGAGAAGAGGAGGATGAGGAGGGCTAGAAGCCAAACCGCGAAGCGCGATGCGTGAATATCTTCGCACCCTCGAGGGCGCCCTTGTGGAAGCCCAGACCTCGAAGGCGCGTGTGGAGAGGCGCCATGCGGGAGAGGCGGGGCCACGGCGGGACAGAGCCAGGAAGGAGAGCAGGCTTGCGGGGTGGCGGTTGCGAGCACAATGCCACGGTCATACTTCTGCCCCCGAGATGTTCACGTGGAGCACTCAGGGAGGGAGAGGGGCCGAGGCAGCGGAGGGGGGAACGGTCGAGTATGGGATCGACTACATAATTATTTTACTCTACAATTTGTTTTCCGTCGAAGTAGATCGATTGAGGAGTCGATGGATGTTTCATGAATTCGATGAGAAATCAATTTGGGGTACATCAATTCCGTAGTCGATGCTCTCCTCGAAATGGGACAGGTGGCAGGAGCTGGGGAGGCCGCTGACCTTGACCGCCCCGGCGAGGGCGTGGACCATGATGCGCAGCTCCCTGAAGAACCGATGCTGGCGGATGACGTCCGTCACCAGCACCAGCGACAGCACCCGGGCGAAGCGCAGGGTGGAGAACATCGCGAGCACAATCCTGACGGGGCGGCCCTCCGTCGGCGGGGGGGAGCTTGGGCCTGCCGGCATCCTCCTCCTGCTCCCAGCTGTCACCCCCTCCCTCCTGTGATCATCCTCATGAGTCTCCGTCGCCGCCTCCGTACTCCTCTTCCTTCTCCATACCCACTACCATCCGGCTTATCCTTTGTCTCCTCCTCCTGCTCGGATGCCTCCTCCTCGTCGTCCGCCGTCCTGCTCCTCACTCGCCACAACCTTCTTACTATTCTTATCGATTCCCATCCCCCCTTTCTCATGAACCACGCCTTCTCGTCTGACCACCAAGCGTAACGGGGCGGGCTGGGAGTTTCGCCTCAGACTTCCTCCCCGTTTCTGAGCACGAAGCTGGAAACTCCCAAAAGCTACACGGATGGAGGGGGGACGTCTTTTTCCGAATGTGGTCCTCGCTCTAGCTCCGCCCGAGGAAAATATCTACATACCCACGTTCCTGCAGACCTGCCTACGTACCAGCGAACTACTGCACCTCCTGCTCCTCTTCCTCCTCCTCCTCCTTCTCCTCCTCCTCCTCTTGTTCTTATTCCTTCTCCCCCTCCTCCTCCTCCTCCTAATCTCCGCCATCCTCCCTCCTTCCCCCTGCCCCCCTCTCCATCCTCCCCCTCCCTCCTTCTCCGACTCCCTCTGTCCTCGGGCATCCATTTACGAAAATAAAAAAACGACAACCGCACCACGAAGACGACAAGGCAGCCTGATCGACGAGCCCGACCTCTGGTCCCGGTGCCAGTGGTGGCCGATGGCCTGCGGCTGCTGCGTGGAGAAGGGGACGGAGGGCTGAGGGAGGAATGAGACGCAGGAAGAGAGATTGACACGGAGATTACCAGAGGAAGCAGCAACTGCATAGACATCAACTTTCGGAGCTCCGCGCGGATGTCTTAGATTGGCGCTGGACCACCCTCGCTGGCGCGCGGAGCGCACCAGTGGGGGCGCCGGAGGCGCCGCCAGGGGGCTCTGGCGCAATTCCAAGAAGGCCGCGCGGACCTTCAAAAGTTTACGTTTACGCAGTTGTTCACTCTCCTGGCCACTTACCTAATGAAAATCGCTTGAGGTTCTGTTCACCATTGGCAATCTTGGCTCACACTGTGCTGCTGGTGCGGCCGCCCGTAACATACTTCATTACCAGCATGCAGAGCAGAAATGGGGAGGAAGCAGACCGAGGACGTCGAGAACGACGATGGTGCACAGGATGGCCAGGAAGCGGATGAGGACGAGGAGGAGAACGATAAGCCGAGGTCGACAGGAGATGGAGGCAAACAAAAAACCAAAAACACGGCGCTCCCATTCCGCCGATGCCTGGGCCCCCGGAGGTCTGGGGACCACTTCCCTGGGGCCAGCTATTTCATCCCGAGTCCTTTCTTGTCCTCCTCCTCCTCTTCCTCCTCCTCCTACTCCCCCCCCTTCTCCTCCCTCCTCTCCTCCTCCTCCTCCTCCTCCTCCTCCTCCTCCTCCTCCTCCTCCTCCTCCTCCTCCTCTTCCGGCACCGGTGCCCGTTGAGGGCCCCTGGAGGCCGAAATCAGCAAACAACCAGCCGCTCCAATTTCCTTCGGAGTCTCGGATCCCTGGGGAGCTTGCCGATGGCCTGCAGCACCTGCGTCACCGCGACCAGAGCGTGGAACGACTGCCACCCGACGCTGGTGGAGTGCTTCGCCTCAAACTTGCCCGCCGTGAACCTCGCCAGGCGGCCGAACCAACGCCGCCAAGACATCCACGGTTCCCCCAGAAGGAAAAACATGTACGTGCAGTAAGCAAAACTGGCTGCCTTCAGAGAATATGCAAAACATGGTGCCTTCAGGGAGCCCATCCCCCTCTTTATCCCCTTCCTCCTGTCCTGCCCCTCCTATTTTTCTCCTGCTCCTCCTCCTCATCCTGCTCCTCCTCATCCCAGTCCTCCTACTATGCCCCACTCGGCCCCCCGTTGTTCCTCAAGCTCTCTTGCTCCCCGTCCTCCTCCTTTTCTTTCGCGACCTCCCCCCCCTCCTCCTCCTCCTCCTCCTACTCACCGTTTTCCAATTCGTCCTCCACGTCGCCCTCGTCCCCTCCTTGTTGATCTCCTCCTCTGAAGTCTGGCGCTGAGAAAAAGGTGCACCATCGTGAGAAATTACGAATGGAGCTCTAGACCCAATCTTTCCGCGTCGATTCCGAACCCGATCCATCTGGGAGGGTCCCGGGCCCTAAAGCGGACGGAAGCGCCCGGAGTGAAAACATTGTCTCCTCGTCCTGCTCCTGCTCGTCCTCCTCCACCTCCTCTTCCCTTGCCTCTCTCCTCTTCCTCGTCGTCGTCCTCCGCGTCCCCCGCACCCTCCGAGACCGCGAACCTCATCAAGTGGTCGAGCACGACGCAGGCGCACGAGATGTCCAGGAGCACCGTGAGGAGCACTGAATCGCCGATGCCTGGGGCGGGGTCAGCGGAGAGGGTAGACCGGCGGCCCGCCGATGCGTCGTCCAGGGCCAAGGCTGCCGAGGCGACAGCCTCCAAAGACGAGATCGGAAGGCGAATGCGGCTGTGGTGAATCGACGCCAACCACCACGGATGGTGCGGCCAAACAAGACTAAATGGGCCCTGGGACACACAAATAAACACACACACACACCAATAAACAGATTCCCCATATTTTCCCATATGTTCTGGGTTTCTGTCTTCCCCCCCCACATCCCATATTTTCCCATATTTTCTGGGAATCGACGAATAATTGTGTCTGTGTGTGTTTCCCCCTCCTGGAAGACGGCAGGATCAATCAGCATCGGATCGGTAAACCAGATCCAGCCGAAATGTGCATCGGATCGGGCAGCATCGGCATGACATCGAAATCGAACCAGATCGGCTTCGCCAAAATGCACAACAACGCCGTGCAAACATCGGGCCGCATCAGATCGTCGAGAGGAATATCGGAATCGAATCGGATCGGGCCAGCCGGAATCGACATCGAATCGGATCGATCGGATCGAAGTGGACCATGGGAGGGATGGGCGCATCTGGCTCCGAGCCTCCTCCTGGCAGTATCGTGGATGGCTCGAGGCCGCGCAAATTGCTGGCGCTACCAGCTCTTCGGCGTAGCGATTCCCGACCCATCATCGGCGGCCCGCCCAGGGGGAGGAGGCAAAGGGGGGCTGGCCTTCGCAGAAGGCAGCGGGGCTTTCCTGAGACCCGGGCGTTGCAAATCCGCCGATCCAGCATGTGAGTTCGCAGAGCCTCAGCTACAGCCGACAGCCTGAACTTCGAGGGCGTGTCGCTGGCGACCCCAAGGGGGGGGGGGGTACCCCCTCCCCCTTCCCCGATCCGTCGTCGGGGACCCCCCCCACTCCCCCCCTTTCCCGATCCGTCGTCGGGGACCCCCTCCTCACCCCCTTTCCGGTCCGTCGTCGGGGACCCCCCCCCCTCTCCCCCCCTTTCCCGATCCGTCGTCGGGGACCCCCCCCCCTCCTCCCTTTCCGGTCCGTCGTCGGGGAACCCCCCCCCCTCTCTCCTCCTTTCAAAAGGGGGTGGGGGAGGGGGTTCCGACCCCCCCCCCTTCCCCCTTTTGGCCGCCAAATTCGACCCCCCCCCTTTCGCCACGGCACCCCCGGTCTCCGGAACCCGACCCCGACCACCCGCAACACTAATCCTCACCCTTACCCTAACCCCCAGCCCTAACCCCAAACCCAAACCCTAGCCCCAAACAGCACTAACAACGCATTACGCACTACCCACTACCCACTACCCACAATTCACTACTCGCTACCCATTACTCGCCTCCTCCTGTTCCTCTCCCGCTGCCACGGGCCATATTAGTTGGTTAGCGCCGTTGCCATTGTCAGTGATATATATATATATATATATATATTATATATATATATATATATATATATATATATATTAGTGACAAAGGCAACGGCGCAGACGCGTGGCGTCGATTTTATCAAACGCATGCGATTCAGGAAAAGATAAAGAAACACCTCGTACATATATTGCATTCTAGAATTATCTACATCATCTTCAAGTCCAAAAAACAAGATTTCATTCTCACTTATCATGCATCATGGATCTATCATGATGGTGGGACTATGGATCACCCCCCCAGGACCACCCACAACGTAGAGCGGGGTGGAGCTGGGGCCAACATTGCAGCACTACTCACAACTTGCTACTCACTACCCACGACTCACTACCCACTACCCACTACTCCCTACTCCCTACTCCCTACTCACTACAAAACCCACTAGTCACTACCTACCGCTCAATACTCACCACTCACTAAACACAAGTCACAAACCACTACTCCCGAATCACAAATCACTACTCACTACCCACCAACCACTATCCACTTCTCACTACTCACACACTCACTACTCACTGCCCACAACTTATTACCCACTATCCACTACGCACTACTCGCTACTCCGTACTCCCTACACAGTACACACTACTCACTACTCGCTAATCCCAGCGCCCTACTCCTTACCCGGTACGCACTATTCACTACCCACTATTTACTACTCACTACGCTCCCACTACTCACTACGTACTATTTCCTACTCCCTACTCACTCCTCCCAACGCACTACTCACTACTCACTACCCAATACTCAATACTCACTACTCACTAAAACTACGCACTGCCCACTACTCACTATTCACTAATCACTACTCACTACCCACTAGCCACCACTTACTACTGAGTATTCAAAATCTACTACTCACTGGACACTGCCCGCAGATCACAAGTTTACTACTCATTAGACACTGCCCACAAATCACTACTCACTATCCGCTACTCGCTACCCAATACGAAATTGCCACTACCCACTACGCACTACTCGCTACTCACTACTCCCTACTCCCTACTCAGTAGTCACTAGTCGCAAGTCGCTACTCACTACTCACTGCTCACTACTCATGACTCACTACTCACAAAATTATACTCGCAACTGCCTACTCACCACCCACTACTCAATACCCGCTTCTCGCTTCTCAGTACTCACTTTTCACTACTCACGCCTCCCTACTTACTATTCGCTACTCACTGCTCACTACTCACTACTCGCTACTCCCTACTCGCTACGCACTACTCCCTACCCACTACTGACTCCTGACTACTCCCTCCTCACTACTCACTACTCACAAGGCCCTACTCGCCACTCACTACTCTCTAGTCGCTACTCTCTACTCGCTACTCCCTACTCGCTACTCACCGCTCACTACTCACTACTCTCTACTCACTGCGCACTACTCACTACTCACTACTCACCCCAAGCTAATTGCTACTCTGCTCCCTCAGCCCTACTCGGTGCTTACTACTCACTATGCGCTACTCTCTACACACTACTCACTCCTCACTACTCACAATTCCGTAGTCTCTACTTCCTTCCCACTACTCACTACCCACTACCCACTACTCACTACTCAATAATCTATACGTGCTACTCACTACTATCACTACCCGTTACCCACTACTCGCTCCTCACTACTCACAAAGCACTGCGCACTACTCGCTATCAAATACCCACTACTGACCAATCGCTACCCAAAACACTCTACTCTCTACTCACTACCCGAGAGGCCCACTCCCCAGCCCCCTGTTCGGCGCAAAGGGGGAAAGGAGGGGGTGGGTCGACCCTCCCCCCTTTCCAGCGCCACGGGGGGGAGGGGACATGGGAGATCCGGACCCCCCCCCCCCCCCCTTCAAGGGGGGGAAGGTGGGGGTTCGGAGCCCCCCCCCCCTTCAGGGGAGGAGGGGGGTGGGTGGGTTCGAAAATCTCACCCCCTCTTTGAACGAGGGGAGGAGGGAACGGGGGGGTTCTGCGAGCCCCCCCCCTTCAGAGGCCATCCGCTGGCGCGCTCTCCTGAGTTTCAGCTCTGCCGGGGGGGAGGCCCAGAGGGGGCTCTGCCGGGGAACGGGGGGGGGGGGGCGCGCCTGTGCTCCGCTTTTTCGGGGTCGGGCAAGCGAATATATATATATATATATATATTATATATATATATATATATATATATATATATATATATATACTGTGTGTATGTATGTATGTATGTATGTATGTATATATATATATATATATATATATATAGCCAAATTTCCAGCCCGCGGCCAGAGAGCCCAAGATGGCCGCCAGCTATGTCCCCGACAGCTCAAGATGAACCCAAGATGGACCAGAATGCCCTCCCAGGAAGGCCCGAAGAGGCTCACGGCATTGACGTTCTGAATGCTTCTGGGGAGTGTGGGCGCTTCATTCTTTGCGGCCTTCCGACGGCGGGGGCGTCTTCAACCAGTTTCGGGCCCCGTGGCTGTCACAACATCGACCCCTCTCGAAGAAGACAACAGAAAGATCGGGTCTGGGGCTCCGCTCGTGACTTTCAGCGGCGTCGCACTGACGCCTTCCAGGAAGCTTCGGGGAAGGCTCATAAGGCTACTCAGAAGCCAAGGCCGCGCTAACGGCGATGTTGGTCAACGGCGATGTTGGGAATCTGATGTTTGTGACACCGAGCTCGCGCAGAACAATTTGCAGGACATCACGAACCCCACTTTCCTACGTTTCATATGTGCGAATGTATCGAGCCAGAACGACGCGGCAAAGCGTAGGAAAACACGAGCCACGCGCTCCTACAATTGGTTTGGCCACGAACCACGCCTTCCAACAATTGGATGTCCTACTTCGCCGTTAGCCGACACACTGTTAGCGCGGACGAGGAGGAGGGGGAGGAGGAGGAGGAGGCGGAGGAGGAGGAAGCGGAGGAGGAGGCGGAGGGGGGAGGCGGGAGGACTTCTGAGAAAGCCCGCCGCCTTCTGAGCAGGCTGGCCCCCTCTGCCTCCCCTTCCCCCTCTGCCTCTCCTTCCCCCGGGGGGGGGAAGGAGAGGACAATGGACGTGAAGCACAGGGGCTCGCCCTGATCGCAAGGTTGGGTCGGGCGTGTGTCCCCCTACAAGCGGATTTTGGACGAACAAAAAACAAATACTACAAAATGGTCAAACGTAGTCAAAACATCGCCCCCAGACTATTTTCTGCTATTTTCGAATCTTTCCCCTGCAGAGGGACATGCCCGACTTAAGACAACGGACGTGAAGCACACAGGCTCGCCCCGATCGCAAGCCTGAGCTGCAGAGCAAGGAACCACCCAACCCAATCACAGTTTCTCGGGAGGTCCGCAAGATCGGCGCGGGAGCCCCTCCCTGGAGCGCCTCCAGCGCGCCAGGGGCGGCGCCAGAGGCGCCGACAAGTGGACCAGCAGTCCGCCTGAGAGTCTAACGCATGAAGGTGCCGTCCCCCCTCAGCCTCGTCCTCCTCGTCTCCATGGGGGTTTCAGACAGAAGCAAAACATACAAACATGCACTTTTCGGAGGTCCGCGCGGGTGTATCGGATCTGCGCTGGACAAACAGGGGGCGCAACGCCGATCCAAACGATCCGTGCGGAACTCCGAGAAGTGATGCTCATGCCGTCATGTGTTCGTCTCCTGCCTCCTTCCTCCTCCTTCCTCCTCCTTCCTCCTCCTCCTCCTCCTCGTCCTCCTGACTCCTCTCCTTCCTGACTCCTCCCTGCTCCTCCTCTCCTCCTCGTCCTCCTCCTCCTTCCTCCTCTCCTCCTCCTTCCTCCTCTCCTGCCTCCTCGCTCCCTGCTCCTCCTCCTCCTGCCGTGGCCGCTCCTCCGTTTTCAGACCACGCCCTCGGCGAGGAATGTCGGACGCCCACAGCGGGCCTCCGCACCCTCTGGCGGGCCTCCGCCCCGGGAGGCACGGCGCCGGGGCCTCTCGCGGGCCCTCTCGGCCTCCGACGGGGGGACGGCCCCCGAGATCCAGCCAGATTTGCACTAGCCAGATTTGAACTATACTCGCGGGCTCCGAAATCTCGCGGGCTCCGAAAAAAGTTGCACCGGCCAGATTTGAGCTATATTCAGCCTATCGGGGCCCTCCCGGGGCCCAGGGCCGCCAAATAACGATTCCACGGACGAAGAACCCGCCCCAGGAAAGCTGCCCAGACCTGCGGGGGTCCACTCATCGAAAAAAGTGGGGCGCTGGATGTCTGGGGCTCCACTCGGCTGCGGGGTGGCTCGTCAGGTCTCGTTGTGTGGTTCACCTCAGCGTGGTAGACGCCTGGATCTGCAGGCGGTGGTTCTTTTTCGGCCAGGGTCAACTCCGACCATTGGCGAGACGTGGATACCTCCACGCGTTCATGAAGGACCTCAGCCCCAAGCGGCACAGCTGATGTGGTGTGTTGGATGTTGCTTCGCAACTGCTCCGTCAGAGATTCCCCCCTCCTCCTCGTCCTCCTCCTCCTCCTCCTCCTTCTCCTCCTCCTCAACCCCGTCGCCATCGCCGTCGCCGTCGCCGCCGTCGCCGTCACCATCACCGCCGTCATCGTCGACATTGCTAACGCCAGCGCCGGCGTCAAATCGCCTGCGGCGCCGTGGTGTAAGCCGGAGGCACACCTCTGCGCTGCGTGCTGCATCTCCCACACGACGATCGCGGCGTCCAGGATGATCAGCATGACCCGGGCGGGCTCGTAGGCAGGGTGCCTTGTAGCGAGTGGGGGGATCAGAGAAAGGATGTGGGAGCAGGGATAGGAGGGGGGAGGGGGCAGCGGCGGAAATTGGCGTCAAGTCAAGCCACGACGACTGGCAAGCTTTGCTACTTCCTGCCCCGTCGTATCTCCCATTTCCTTGCCCCGGCCTTCTCCCTCCCAGCTCCCGTACCAGATCCCAAAAGCCCTCCAGCCCTCCAGGCGGAAGGGTTTTGCTCTCCCTCTCCCCCTTCCACTTGGCTCTGGAGGGGGCGACCCGCAAGCGGGTAGAGCGTGGACGATGGGACAAGATGGCTGTTAAAGGCCCTTTTTGAGTGCCCAAGATGGCCTCCAAGATGGGGCAGGATCAGAAAGGCTTCCAACATGCTCCAATAAACTCCAAATCCGCTTCAAGACGGGTCCAAGTGGCCAAGAAACACACCGAAGGACGCCCCCGAGATGTCCAACTCCTTGAATCTAAAAGAAAATAATTACTCCGACGGAAGAACCCCACATAAGAATCCTCTGGGCGAATCTGGAAAAAGCCATCACCGTCGTCCTCGTGGTTGGTGAGGCGTCCTGGCTGTCTCTTCTGCGTATATTTCCTCTCGCCTTGGCGCGGGCCCCCCTTCCACTCCTTACGTTGTCCCCATCCTCGCCCCCCTGTTTGTTCCGCGCCCCGCCACCTCCTCCCCTTCCTGTTGCATGAGCGCGCATGTCGATGTTCCTCGGCGCCGTCGCCGCCACGGCCAGCACAGGCGCGTTCTCTACAGGTCACGTCGCGCAGCCGTTGGGACAACCCCGCGGGCCAGGCTGTCGGGACAACCCCGCGAGCCGTTGGCGCGCAAGACCAAGCCGTTGGGACAACCCCGCGGGCTTCGAGCGAGGCGCAGCCGCGCTCAGGCGGAAGGCAGCACGAAGCCCAGCTCTGCCGCGAGCTGCTTCGCCTCCGCCCTGGACAAAACCGTTCTCTTGTCGAACTCCAGGAGCGCCTTCCGCAGGGACGCCGGCGGCCCGCGCTCCAGGAACTCTCGCGGCGGCGGCCGCAGGATCAGCATGTTCCGCATGCACGTGGCGCGGGAGAACATGACGTAGAGGTGCAGCCACCACTGCTCGTCCGACATGCCCGTGCGGCCAGCGTCCTCGTCTCTCGCGCAGTCGATGGTGACGCCCTTGCGCAGCGTCTGGCCCTGCGACAGCGTGGAGGTCAGGTAGGACGCGTGCGTCAGGGTGAACCCCGAGCGGCGCACGCTGTGCGCCCCCGAGCTCTGCCATGTGAACTCCCTTTCGCTGGGCCTGAACATCAGCAAGCTCCGCGCCCGCGCCTCGGCCTGGCCGTCGTCGTCGGCGCCTTCGGCGCCCTGTCGCAGCACCTCGGCGACCTGAGGAGCCCAAAAACTTCCTTGTTGCATCCAAAGTGTGGCCTGGGAACTGCGTTCTGGCAGCGCGAGAACCCAACATTGACGACAGTTACAGGTTTTGGATGACCTGCTCGGATTACCAACATGATCTGCGGGCCCCATAGGGAGGGGGCTCCCGCCTGAGACTTCCTCGCAGTTCACTCACAGACGAGGCTCCCGCCTGAGACTTCCTCCATATTCAGGCTTGAGGAGCCCAAAAGTGACGACAGTTACAGGGTTCCGATGACCCGCTCGGATTACCAACATGATCTGCGGGCCCCATAGGGAGGGGGCTCCCGCCTGAGACTTCTTCACAATTCACTCAAAGACGAGGCTCCCGCCAGAGACTTCCTCCAAATTCAGGCTTGACGAGCCCAAAAGTGACGACAGTTACAGGGTTCCGATGACCCGCTCGGATTACCAACATGATCTGCGGGCCCCATAGGGAGGGGGCTCCCGCCTGAGACTTCCTCAGAATTCACTCACAGACGAGGCTCCCGCCTGAGACTTCCTCCATATTCAGGCTTGAGGAGCCCAAAAGTGACGACAGTTACAGGGTTCCGATGACCCGCTCGGATTACCAACATGATCTGCGGGCCCCATAGGGAGGGGGCTCCCGCCTGAGACTTCCTCACAATTCACTCACAGACGAGGCTCCCGCCTGAGACTTCCTCCAAATTCAGGCTTGACGAGCCCAAAAGTGACGACAGTTACAGGGTTCCGATGACCCGCTCGGATTACCAACATGATCTGCGGGCCCCATAGGGAGGGGGCTCCCGCCTGAGCCTTCCTCAGAATTCACTCACAGACGAGGCTCCCGCCTGAGACTTCCTCCATATTCAGGCTTGAGGAGCCCAAAAGTGACGACAGTTACAGGGTTCCGATGACCCGCTCGGATTACCAACATAATCTGCGGGCCCCATAGGGAGGGAGCTCCCGCCTGAGACTTCCTCCCAATTCACTCACAGACGAGGCTCCCGCCTGAGACTTCCTCCATTTTCAGGCCTGGGGAGCCCAAAAGTGACGACAGTTACAGGGTTCCGATGACCCGCTCGGATTACCAACATGATCTGCGGGCCCCATAGGGAGGGGGCTCCCGCCTGAGACTTCCTCACACTTTACTCAACGATGATGAGGATGAGGATGATGAGTGGTGGTGAAGATGAGTGGTGAAGAGGATGATGATTGATTGTGGGTGGTGGTGGCGATGATGATGTTTGAATGAGGATGATGCCGATACCGATGATGACGATGATGTTCGTGAGCGTGTGAGAGAGTGCGAGTGATGATGATGTGTGTGTGTGAATGAGTGCGAGGAGAAGAGGGGGTGAGTGAGATCTCTCTCCTGCGCGGGGGTGTGAAGGCAGAAGAGGCGAGGGGGTGGGGTGAGTGTTCCTGCGCGGGGTGTGCAGAGAAAACAAGAACCCCACTTTGGATGTAGGGAATAAACGTTTCTACCCTTCTCGTCGTTTCGCTCCCGACGGCGTTCCGAGGCCTCAAGATGGCTGACCATGGAAACCCCAAGAGGGCCGCAAGAGGTCTCCAAGACGGCTCCAAGAGCGCCCAGCGCCCGAGAGGCCCAAATCCAGAAGCTAGAGACCCCCGAGAGTCCAAAATCAGGCCCCAGAACGCCCACAAAAGGCCCCCAAGACACCGCAAAACCGTGTCGCTTCGGAGAGCCTTCCCTAGAGATACGCACAGGCATCTACGAGGCTCCTGTCCTACAACCAAAGCATGGTGGCGTCATGGGCCAAAGGCCGCTCGATTTGGCCGTGAGTTGATGGGGGGTCCATAGATGGGGAGGCCAGTCGCATCGCGCAAACGGGCGGCCTCGGCTTCGTCATGGCTGCGGCGGAGCGCGGGCACTTCGAGCTGCTCCCCAGGTCCTGAGATTCCCGCTCCGCGCCGACTTGCTCGGCGAGCCCGCGCGTCCTGCGACTCTAGCTCGCGCGCGCGCCATTGTGCAACGAGCCTGCGCGATCCCGCCCTGGCGATAATTGCCGAGCCATTTCGAGCCGCCCCCCCCAAAGACGGCCCCAAGAGCCCCTCAAAGGTCTCCGAGACGCCCCCGAGAGGCTCCACGACACTTCCAGAAACCCCCAAGAAGCCTCCAAAAGGCCCCCGAAATCTATCGGATGGCCCCACGCCGAGGGGCCTTTCAGAAGCATCCCAAGAGACACTGTGATGTATCCAAGAAGCTCCTGGCCCACATCCCAAGCACGGTGGCGGGCAAGGCCGAACGCCGCTGGATAACGTGGACGAGTCTTATGCCACTCGCATGCGATTCTGGTCGGACTCTTTCAGGGTTCCTATTGGACCCAATGGGATCGTTATGGTATCCCTTCAGAGTCATTGTAGGACCCTACGGGATCCCTCTAATACTCCTTCAAGACCCCAAGGCATCCCAACAAGATCCCTACAGGACACAACGGCATCCATATAGGACCCTACGGGATACCCGTGAGGCGCTACGGAATCTCTAGAATAGTTCCTGTTCGTTGTGGACGCCCTTGAAGTTGCCTGTAGGACGTTCTGGAGTTTCTATACGATCTCCCCAAGGCCACCGTATAATCCTACAAGAGCCAATGAATCCGTCGGAATGTGTCGGGGTCCTTCCTTTTTCCTCTGGACTCATTCGGGATACCTTGGCAGTCGAGCTCCTTGGAGATCATTGAGCTTCCGTTGGGTGCCCCAAGAATCCTTCGGGACCCTTGGGAATTGTACGGGGTCATGCGGAATCCTGAAGCATCGCAACAAGTTGTTCGACATCATGCGGGGCCCGTGGGAACCCGAGGGGGTCCTTAGCCGCCCCGAAGACTCCTTCGGACTCCCCTGGAACCAGTCGGACTCCACAGGGGTCGCCAGGGACTCCTTCAAACAACTCATACAGATCCCTTACAGGGTGCCTGAAGAAACTTAAGAATGCTTCGACGCCCGACTGCATCCAAAGACGCCGCAGAAACCCTCCGACTTCCCCTGAGCGAAGAATCCCTGCAGAAGCAAAAGGATTCTTTCGGACCACCGAGGAATCCTCGATAATCCTTCGGGATCCTCAGGGCCCCTTAGGAATCCGCTGGGCATCCATGGGATGCGCAAGAATCCCTGGGGCCCCGTAAAATCGCGAGACGCCAAGGTCCTTGGAATTCCTTGCGAACCCCACGTCCTCAAGAATCCGGATGAATCCGTAGGGATCTTTGGGCATCATCAGAAATCCGGGAGAAACCGTTGGAATCCGAAGACATCCTCCTCGGGAGTCAGTGGGGGCCCCGAGAATCCTCGAGGATCCTGTTGGAATCCTGCGAAAACGATTGGAATAGTAGGGTACCTAAGCATCTCCTCGAATCTGCGACAATCATCGCGAGTCCTTCCTACTCCCGAGGATTCGACGCAAATGCCAAGGCGTCTTGAGGAACCCGCGGTAATCCTCAGCCCCCCTCTGGATTCCTAGAGAATCCTAAGCGCCCCCCCCCAAATCCTTTTTTTTCACCGAGGCGTTCTCGCAGGGCGCCTGAGGAGGCCGCGGGAACCTCCCAAAAACAGCGTAGACCGCATGGAGTCCGAAGGAAGTCCAAGAATGCTCGAGTAACTTTAGTCGGGAGCGGCAACGAGGGGGGTG